GACTTTTACATGTAGTATTTATAATATTATGTTAATATTGACTATACAAAATTAGGTTATTCTAAAAAAATGAAGAAATATAAGCATAGAAACGGAGAAGAAAATAAGCATGAAGAGTTAGTCTAAGACCCTTAGGAAAGAAGACTGCCTTTGACGCTTAAGTAGTTAACAATATAATATGGCCTGTTGATAATAGACGCTAATTTGTTTTGTATAATACAATATCATATTCCTACTAAATAGTGTGTTTAATAATGATTTATATCTTTTTTCACTAGATTCTTATGGTTTAATATATTAATAATCATCTTTACAATTTGTTAAATATTCAAATTTGGACAATTCAATTTATATTTGTACTGTAATTACAATCCAATTTATTCAAATTATATTTTTATTTTAGTTACAATTTTATTTTTATATGTTAACCTTTTTAATATTATAGTCTAATTTTAGTTTGTAAAAAATGTTATATATACCTTACGAAAAGAGAAAGTTATTAGTTAATAAAATATATTTTTAAAATTTGTTTTTCTCTTCACAATTAAATAAAGAATTGGTAAATGTACATTGATTTATATTATTAGGGTCATTTATATAATACGTTTATTTTTAGGAAAAATGTAAATAATTTCCTTTAGAACTGTTAAATATATGTTTTAAATTTATTAACATTTTTGCCTTTAAGGTTAGTTTTTACGGTATGAATAGTTTTTTTTACGTCCATCCTTTGTTATTAAATACATGGAAATTAAAATATATGGCTTTTCTTGTTTTCTTTATATCGTAATTTTTAATGCTCTCAGAAGGTATTCATTAAATATAAACTATATAGTTAGTTTCCAGAGATAGTCCTGAATCCTGGGGTATAATTAGAATTCCAAGAAGTAAAGGCGGGTTGTTTTCCCTATTATCAAAGACAACTCTTCTTGCTGGTAAAGCTATCGGTAATGAGTTCGGTTGTATGTGGATAATTACTTGTTGGAGTTTTATTTCTCCTATTTTTTTAAAAAAACTTGATGAAATTTTGATACAATAGTATTTAAAGTGTTATCATTATATTTATATTATTTATTCTAACTTCTTTCGGATGCTTTATATCGAATTCTCTAAGAAAAGGCATTCCAAAAATAAGGTAATTCTATCCTTTAACTACCTAAATAGTTAAAAATTTATATATACTTTTTGCATCGACTTTCACTGTACATTTACCGAACACTTCAATTTTGATAGTATTATACCTAGTGTTGTTAAACGGCTCGTTTTGAGCCGATTTTTAAAAACGGCTAACTCAATATTTCATCTAGATTAATATTACGCAAGCCTGAAGATTTTGTTTGCAGAAGAAACAATGGTTTGGACATCTATTAGAGAAATCTTGAGGCTTAGGCAATATTTTTCTGGCTATAATATTGAGTTAGCCGTTTATAAAAATCGGCTCGAAACGAGCCGTTTAACAACACTAATTATACCCATTAGTTTATAAGCAGGCGATAGTGATGGTTTGCCAATGCGTCTCCAGGCAAGTTCAAGTATCATGTTGCACGCAGCACCGGTATCGAATTCCATTGTAAACCGCAAAGCATTTATCTTCGCATTAATGGAAGCTTTATTAGGAAATGACAGGTGAGATGTATGGTAAAATCATCTGTATGGCATGGGTTCTACAATCTCTTGCTTTGTGGTTTGTCTTGCGGCATAAAAGCATATGACTGTTTTTGTATGAAATTAGGTTTAAAACTAGATTTATAATAATTATGATTTAATTGGCATTATAATTATTATCATTATTGAATTATTACCATTATTATAACTACTAGTTGATAACCCGTCAAAAATGACGGGAATGAGAATTTTATTCGTTCTTTTACGATAATTCTTTTTACCCCTCCCCCTCCTCCTTCAGGCCATTTCCAACCCATTAAGACTAAGAGAGAGGAATTGTCTTTTTTATTCAATGATTGATGAATAATATATTTTACCTTTATTTGATGATGGATGAATCAGACATTTTCCTTTTTATGAGATGTGATTTCGAAATTTATATTTTAAATTACAAAAATGAAACAATATCTCTTATCAGCACCCTAAATACTAACATTATTTACCAGAGCTCCTGTTAGTCAGAATTACTGTTCACTCCCCACCGCGTGAAGGTAGGAGATGGATTTTAGGGGAGCAAAGAAATGAAAAAAAGAATGAAAATAAGAAGGAAGAAATAGAAAAAAAGAGACAAAGATATGAATTATAAGAAAATATAATAAATATTTATACTTCAAGAGTTGATGATTATCGGGTTACAACACATATGCATTTGTAGCCATATAAAAAATATAATATAATAAATTTTATAATATAGAAAATTTTACCTAAAAAAGGAGATTTCAATCTCTTTTCTTTGCTCAAGGTGGTTTCGTTTTTGAAGATGATGTTGTGATTTCCTTGCTAGTAGTTTGTCGTAAATAACCTGAAATAAAACGTGTAAATTGAAATTAAATAGAATATACTGTTGTTGGTGAGGAAGATGGTTTAGCGATGGTGAAGAAGTTCTTTTTTCTTTGCTCAAGGTGGTTTCGTTTTTGAAGATGATGTTGTGATTTCCTTGTTCGTAGTTTGCCGTAAATAACCTGAAATAAAACGTGTAAATTGAAATTATATTATAGAATATACTATTGTTGGTGAGGAAGATGGTTTAGCGATGGAGAAGAAGTTCTCTTTTTTTTGCTCAATGTAGTTTCGTTTTTGAAGATGATGTTGTGATTTTCTTGCTCGTAGTTTGCTGTAAATAACCTGAAATAAAACGTGTAAATTGAAATTATAAAATAGAATATACTGTTTTTGGTGAGGAAGATGGTTTAGCGATGGTGAAGAAGTTCTCTTTTCTTTGCTCAAGGTGGCTTAGTTTTTGAAGATGATGTAAAGTTGGTGATTTGTTGGTGAATAACAAAGTTGGTGACTTTTTTAAATTTCTTACAAATTATGAATTTAAGATTTCATTATATACGATATTTTGTGTGAATGTTTTATCATTTTTTAAAATTTTTCCTTGTAATTCTGATGGCAAAATCATAATTTTCATATTATTTTGAGATTTACATCTAGTAAGAGCCACATATAGTTTTCCATGGGCAAAGACGGGCTCAGGGAGGAATAAGCATACATGATCAAAAGTTTGTCCTTGACTTTTATTTATTGTAATCACAAAAGCGGGAATTATAGGAAACTGTCGTCTTTTTAAAGTAAATGGTAACTGAGAGTCACTTGGAGCTAGATCTATTCGTGGGAGAAAAACTCGATAACCCTTATTAGTGCCTGTCAATACCTCAGCGTCGATAAAATTAATATGTAAATGTCGTATGATTAAACGGGTACCATTACAAAGTCCTTTCTTTGGGCTCAAGTTGCGTTACAGCATAACAATTGTACCAACCTTAAGTGTTAGCTTTGAGGTGGCATACCGGATGGAGTTTGTGAATGCAAAAATTCTAGTGGAAAATTCATTATATCATCCTTATTATCGCTTTCAATGGAATCTGCACTATAATAATGTTTGATAGGGCCTGAAATTATATTAATGATATCGTTGTGGAGGGTAAGTGCAATTTTATTTTTGGTGGTTAATATTATTTTAGTAGAAAGATTATCTATATCAGCAATTTCTATAGAATTACCATACACACATTTTATTAATGAATCATTTTAAAGCAAATAAGGTGGGATTTCAACACTATTTGTAGGAAGATCAGAATTGCTGCGTGATAGCCCATCTCCAATTTTAGGTAACCAAGCATTGTAATCAACTTGATCTGATGAAATACGCATATTATCAATCAAATGTATTATTTTAAAATGACTCCATAAATATGAACTTTTTATACAGGACTCTATAATATCGACTTTGGAGCCTTTAGGCACTACTGGTAAAGTCTGTCTAAAATCACCACCTAATAAAATTACTTTTCCGCCAAATGGGTGAAAATTTTTTATAATGTCTTTAAGTAATCGGTCAATGCATCGCAAAGCGTGTTTAGTCATCATTGTGGCCTCATCAATAATAATCAATTTGCTATTTTTAATATCTAGAGCTAGCGAACTATGTAAATTCATATGGGATGTAGAAGTTTCAAAGATAGGCACAGGTAATTTAAATCCGATATGGATGGTTCTTACCCCCTTTAAAAGAATAGAGGATATGCCGGTGGTTGCAAAAGGCAATACAATTTGATTTTTTGCTCTAATATAACACATTAAGGTATTGTAAAGATACGTTTTACCTGAACCTCCAGGGCCATCCACGAAGAAATATCTTTCTGGAATATTTTCTAATTCAATCGCTTGTATAATTAAATCAAAAGCATATTTTTGTAATCGGTTTAATTTAGATATACGCTCGATTGAATCGGCAGCTTCAACATGAGCATCATAATGTTGTTTTGGAGGGATTTTTGTAGGTGAAGGAAGATCAAAACTTTGACAGCATAAACCATGATCAAGAAAAGCGTTTTCAATGTCCATTAAAGCCATGTTTATTGCAATTACTTCTGAATATTGACGCAAATATTCTTCAATCATCATAAATCTGAACCTATTCCATAGATATGCAGGATTTTCAGGCTGACAAAAAAGGCAGATAAAGGCAAAAGTACTCCGAAGTTGTGACGGCATTTGATATATTGATCCCTCTTCTAAGCATGATTCCCACTCTTTATCATCTGATAACAAATTTCTTTTAATAGCTGCCTCTTTAAAAGTACTCATTAAAATTCCATTAATAGTTTTTAAATAATCAAAACTTGTAGCCCCGCAAACATGAAGTAATAATAATCGAAGGAAGAATCGTTCACCAGAATTAGGATGAACGGAATACATTCTCGAAATTACATTTAATCGTTTTTTTCTTAGTTTCCAATTGTAATTTGTAAACACATAATGATAAGGTATTTCCCCATAAAGATATTGTCTAGCATTTAGATCTGTCTTATTTAACTCAAACCATGCCGTTAAAGTAGTATATTTTCTGATCTCAATAAAGCATCTCTTTCATGTCCAGCAGTGAAATTTACTGGCTGTTGTAAAGGTAAATGAATTCCTAAACAAATAACAGCGTGCGAGCGGTCATGCATATTATTTTCTAATAATCTCCACATTGATTCACATGCACTCACATATCGCGCATTTAAATGTGATTTAATTTCGTCATGAATATTTATATTTGAAGCAACATTAATGTCAACATTAGTACAGTCATAGCCCTTATAAATATACTTAAAGATATATTTTACCGATTTAATAGATGTACAAATTTCCACGTTAATATGAGCATTGAATTTTAACATTAGATATCGATTATATGGAATAACATAACGATTATCCGTAGGTTTACCGGAAAGAATTGTAATACCATTATCTCGCCTTTTATAATATGGATACCCATCAATATTTGGTCTTGTTTCCATTTATCCTTCGGAAATTTTTTGGTACATATGCCATTTTCCATGCAAGGCGATTTGGGGTTAAATATCCCGCAAGGACCATGTATCATAAAATGGGTAACAATCTGAAAAAGTTTAGGATCGAGAATTTTATCTGGCATTTCGGCACAAACAAATTTATCTATAGCTTGAGATGTTTCAATTTTGCTATCATCGTTTAAAATAATAAGTATATGGGCATGAGGCAAACCTCTTTTTTGGAACTCGATTGTATATATAAAAGCCATAGATTTACCAAATAAATTTTTTTTATTTATATCGAACAATAATTCATTTAATTTCAATTTAAAAACACGGGCTATTAAATCTGGTCTATCTGTAGGACTTTGCCCGGGAAATAGATTTTCCTTAATTTCACGCCAATTAGGATTGCATGTAAAAGTAATAAACAAATCAGGTTTGCCAAATTTGAGCACAATGGCCATTGCATCGTGATAGCGTTCTCACATATTTCTTTGAGAACCTTGAAAAGATGATGGTAATATTACTGCTTTGCCGGGAATTATATTGTTTGACTTTGTTTCCAAGTAGTCCATTAATCCAGAATATTCATCTACTCGTAATTTTGGCTGATTTTGTCTAATAAAATTTAAATTATTCGCCTCGACCTGTAAATAGGAATCAACAATATATTGTTGTGATAATTTCCCAGCAAAAAGGATTGGGTTGAATTCATTTTCACGAATTGCTAATCTAAATATTTTAAACTGTAGTAGTGAGATATTTGCCCTTGTACGCCCTGTATCTTCACCCTTTAAATCTGGTTTCCAACCAGGGTCACCAAAAGGAAATAATAGAGGATATACCATTGGATCAAGATTAGGGCTTAATATTATTTATCAGATCACAACCATCAACTCGAGGATAGACCTTGATATCCCGTTTAAATGGGGGTTCACCATCATCATTTGTAAAAATCATAGCTACTTCATCTATATTAGGAATGTTATATCTTCGCTTGTCACTTGAGCGATCTGCACGAAAAATCATATTGATTTTTTGAACTGGACGATTTTCTTGAATAGCCCTATTTTTTTCTTCTTTCTCAATTTCTCCCAAGGTTTTAAAACTAATAGAAAATGGGTTATTCTGTCTTATTAAAATATCTAATCTTTTTAAGAGATCCTCATTGCAACCCGAATTTTCTTTCATGTGTAACCTGCCATTAACAGCCTGGGTGGTCTCAAGGACATATAGTTGTGCAAATTTAGGAGGCATCCCAGTGGAAGGATATAAATGAGATGTTCGGTGATAAATTTGCCCATGAACTCTAAAACAATATGGGCCTGGGTTTAAACTATTAGAAATCTGTGATCCCATGGATGCTAACGCAAGTGAACTATTATAAGATCTTATATATTTCATAAAGTTTGAATGAAATTCATTGTTAGGATTAGATAAAAGGTCTTGTAAAAAAGGAATATATCGGATTGATGGTATCTTAACTTTACCCTTATGACAGCAATTCTTAAATTTGCCATCTGTGGGTTTTTCCAATAAAAAATTTAGAGAATCGCAATAATCGCACTTAGTGTTGAGTAATCCACAATAATGTTCTTGTACTAATGATTGTTGTGCAGAAATATTTATCTAAAATAAATAAAATAAATTTGAGGCCTGCTAAAAATTATACATATAATTTAATATTTTTGTGATTATTCAGAGACCTGCAGACCCGGTGTAATTGTAAAATCAATACCATCAATCAATACGTTATTGATTTTATAAATCTTTGATTCGACATTTATATATGAATCACAAAATTTTATAAACTCAATCAATAAGGTCCATTTAATTTATTTGAATTCATAATATCATTTATAAAACTTTGAATCAACAATTATATAGCACTTCACAAATTACAAATAATGAGTAAACAAATATAAAATATATAGGATATCAAGAATTGTAAAATAAATAAATTCCCTGATAAATTATATAAAAGAATAGAAAATCATATTTATCATTTTAATATATTTAAAACTATTAAATCTATTTTAAATAAAATTTTTACAAATCGAAAATGGCCGCCAATATTTATAAAGCGATGAAAAAATATATAATAAATAAATATTTTAAAATTTTAATGGTCGCCAATATATTTGAAGGGATGCAAACATCTTAAAAATCTATACGGTATTGATTCTACAATAGCAATATATCACTACGGTATTGAATCTATAATGATATCAATACGGTATTGAAGTTACAATGGGTATTGATTTCACAATCAATACACCGGCTCTGATGTAAACATATGCCAGGCTTATAATAATTTTTTCTAAAATATTCCATGGGTAATTACGATTATGTAGCACATACTTATTTTATCTTATATTTTGCCCGTCAAGATGATAGTGAAATAAGAATTTTCTTTTTTATTAGTTGATGAAATATATTTTTTATTGTGGACATAAATTAAAATTAATAACCATATACTTCATAAATAAATAATAAATTTTGAATAACCCCTGATGATGGATAAATCAAAAATTTTCTTATCTATCTTATGAGATGTGATTCAGAAATTTATATTTGTTAAAATATTTGTTATACATAAATTAAAATTTTTAACTTGGTTTGTTTTTATTGATTTGGGTAGATTAAGATTTTGGTGAATAGTAGATTTTGGTAGTGTCTAATTTAAAAAAATTTATTTGTTAACATTAATTAAAATTTTTAACTTAGTTTGTTTCTATTGATTTGGGTAGATTAAGATTCTGTTGAATGGTACATTTCGGTAATATGATTCGTAGAATCTAATTTAAATAAATTTATTTGTTAACATAAATTAAAATTTTTAACTTGGTTTATTTTGATTGATTTTGGTAGATTAAGATTCTGCTGAATGGTACATTTCGGTAATATATATCGTGGAATCTAATTTTAAAAAAATCTATTTGATAACATAAATTAAATTTTTTAACTTCGTTTGTTTTTATTGATTTGGGTAGATTAAGAGTCCGTTGAATGGCACATTTCGGCAATATGATCCGTGGAATCTAATTTAAATAAATTTATTTATTGTCATAAATTAAAATTTTTAACTTGATTTGTTTTTATTGATATAGGATCACTGAAAAAATTATACTTAGATATTGCACCAAAGGTATCTTGTGTAGGAATCTAAAAAAAATAATAAAATAGATTTTAATGGCCCACAGTAATGTTCAACTTGTTCTTGATTTTCAGTATCTTCAAGATGATTGGATGTTGAAGCAAATTGTTTATTTCCAGTATCTTCAAGATGGTTGGATGTTGTAGGAATAAGACTTTGCTCGTTCCTTTTCTTGATACGACAAAGTGCCTGTCTCTTTCTAGCTTTCTCCTTATGTTGATTTATTATTAAAATTTAAAAATATAAGAATTACTCAATTTTATAAAAATAAGTTTAGTTTAAAATATTTATTATTGTGGACATAAAATAAAATTACTAAATATATTCTTCATAAACATATTTATAAAAAATAATGGAAAATATTAGAATAGCCCCTCACCTAATAAATATATATTTCGGAATCACATCTTAAAAATATAAAATTTACTCTTGTTGAAACAATAATGCCTTCTTTAGATTTTGGTAGTATGAAACGTTCCATTGTTTGGTTTTGTTGAATGGTATCTTATGTAGGAATCTAAAAAAAATAATAAAATTTTATAAAAATTTTAACTTATATTGCCTATGAGATAACCTTAAAAAACTATGTATTTATTATGTAAGTTTGTATTTTGTGCAGGAATCTAAAAAAATAATATTTATATAAATTTTAAATTACATTACCTATGAGATAACCTTAAAAAACTTATTTAATATATGTATTTATTATGTAAGTTTGTTTTTTGTACAGGAATCTAAAAAAATAGTATTTATAAAAATTTTAACTTACATTGCCTATGAGATAACCTTAAAAAACTTATTTAATATTATATGTATTTATTATGTATGTTTGTCTTTTATGCAGGAATCTAAAAAAATAGTATTTATAAAAATTTTAACTTACATTGCCTATGAGATAACCTTAAAAAACTTATCTAATATTATATGTATTTATTATGTAAGTTTGTTTTTTGTGCAGGAATCTAAAAAATAGTATTTATAAAAATTTTAACTTCCCTAAATCTGCCACTTAACGTGGATAAAATAGAATAGATAAATGAATTTTCAAATATAAAATAAGATGCTCAGATAAAACGTAAGTATATGTAATGTTCAACTTGTTCTTGATTTTCAGTATCTTCAAGATTAAGATGTGTAAATTGAAAGTATATGGTTTTGCTCGATGTGGTGTCTGTTAAAAAATATAATTATTTACTGATGATTGAAGGTTTTGCTCGATGTTGTGTCTGTTAAAAAAAATATCAATTATTGTAATTATTATATTATTATATGTTTTGTAATTGTTTTTTGTATTGAAATTCTTTTTTTGAAAATGGCGGTTCGATTTGGTTTATGAATGCGTGTTTGATATGTTTAAGCTATGATGATTTTTATTGAATATATATATTATAGATTTGAATTCCTTTGCTCTTGTAGGATTATCTGCAAACATTTTTTTCATACTAATGTTCCTTCCTGCCTATTGCCTCAAAATACTTCTGAAATGCTTTCCATGATTTATAGGAGATTAAATCCATTTTGCTAATATGATCTAAATTGGCTTAAAATTGCTATGATAGATAGATAAATTATAGATATATAGAAAGAACAATATATTTGACATCAATTAGGACAAAATATTTACATTTCAACTTAGAAATATAATGCTATTTAAAATAAAATATAATATTATAGATGGCGCTAAATATCATGGAGATTAAAACTACAATTTAACATAACTTAAATACTTCCGAATTTGTTAATATTAATTAAATATTATTAAGAATCACTCCCTATTTAAGTAGAACAAACGTCCAATAATTAATAAAGAAGTTGAATATTACATAATATATTAACAAAATTATAATTGACTATTATCAGGTAAAATAATTGACTATATAATGTCACAGTTGTGACTGTGACTGCTATAATCATTTTGATTAGACAAATAATATTTAAAAGAAAACTATTGGCTAAATTTGATTGACATTTTTTGAGGATTATATATATAGATTATTCCTTACATACGTTTTTGAAACCTTGCGTAGGTTTATGTTTAATGATTTTATTAACTTCTACTTAAGTTTCCTTTTTCAACTTCAAAAGTGATATTGTCCTAGGTATACTTTGACCGAATTTACTTATCCAACTCAGTCAGCTCTACTCCTAAGATAAAAATATCTTTTAAAAGTTTATTAACAGGCGAATTAAAATTATATAGTGAGCAAATACTTTTTAATTTGATAAAAAAATCTATAATAGTTTCTCCGCCTCTTCTTAAGGTATAAAAATTATTTCTCTGTAGGAAAATAAAGATATCCTTAAATAATTTATTATGAATAAAGTTATGTAATTAATGCTTTCTAAATTAATTGGGTAATGGGAATTTTTTATTTTGATTAGGTTATCCGTATCTATGCATGTAAGTAACAAATCTTTTTTATTATGATCGACAATATTTTTTAATTAAAGATGAGTTCTAAATTATATACATAATCCTGAATATTAACTTTCGATTCATTCTGGCATATGGAATTGACTAGATGATGATGTTTCTTTGTTTTTCTTCAGAACTATCTTCGAGTCTTGGCATAATATAATATTCTTTGTCTCTTAAAACTTAATCGTCTCCAATGTGGTGCTTATGAAATAAATAAATTTATGAGAAGATCAAAAAGATATCTTCAAATTTTACAATAATATGTTTATATCTTGATCGAAAGTGATAATCAATCAATTACCATATAACAAAATACAATGTATTTAAAGTCAATACATTTTACTATATCTTAATGATACGACATACTAAATTGTGTACATTAATATATTTTTATAAATGAATTTCTTTATATTTAAGATTACTTTTAAATTTAACAAACAAGACAACTTAAAACTATTTTATCTTAACTTACATTCTTACTTTTGTCATTCATATTATGTTATATTATAAAAATGTTATGACCTTTTGACATTTATAATATTCAAAATTAATTTGCTATATATATGAAAGTCTTAGGTTATCAGATATCCCTAATTCCGATCTAAAAAATCAGTATTTCGATATGTAACATTTGATAATAAAATAAAGATAGATATAGTTTAAAATTTTGTGAAAATAAAAAAAGTATATAGATATGAAATAAAACCTTACATAACCATCACGTTTTAGGTAATTGGTTTGACGTGAAATTATTAATAAGATCCTTCAAATTCGCTATCGCTGAGTGGAAACGAAGAAGCGAATATACATTCGTTGGACAACGCCAAAAAATGATTTTGCAACTAATAATGATCGTGCCATGTCACCAGTTAGCGGATTTAAGCAGTGGCAACTACAATGCATATAAAACGCTTTCCGATTCATTTGTAATATTTGAGCTTGAACCCCTTTATAACATCCTCACATATTAACCTTCTCCATGACAATTTTTGATTTCTAATCAATTTTTAAGTTAACAAATATTGAATTTATTTTCAACGGAGTTTTTGTAAACGACGAACAGTACAGAAAAATGCGAATTTAATAGTATCATCAATTTTTTCCACGATTTTATCTCCTATCAAGTTAACTTTATTTTGAATCGATTTCCGCTAATGATTATGATTTCAAATTCTCTACGAATCTGGTCGAAATGAATTTTTTTTTGCCAAAACATGAATCAAGCTTGCTAATGGCCGCTTGTTCCAAAATTTATATATGGATCTAACGATAATTGAGTAAAATTATAAAATTTAACGGCCCCTAAAATCCTATAATTTTCGCATCCCAGGGTGGTTGCCTCGCCAGCCCCACAGCAAGCATGAAACCTGAAGGCAGGGAAGTCATTAGCCTTTAAAAACTCAAGGGGCTCTAACATTTTCAAAATGGTAGCTAATAAAAAAATTAAAAATTCACAGGGGTTCTTCAAAATTTTGAAGGGCTCGAGCCACAAGCTGATCCTAGTGGCCTACTGACTGACGGAAAATCTGTGGACGATAAAAGAGGAAAAATAATGCTTTCAAATAAAAAAAATTTCTTTTTTGGTCGAATTTTATTTCCAATATTATGAATATTATAAATAATAAACTAGTGTCACTTCATCCTATCAAAATTGATTCGTTCAATGTTGCACTATCTAACGTTAACCTAAGAAATGCTTGAATTTAATATTTTGGTGAAATATTTTAAGAAATGAAGCTTAGATATTTTAAAGTATACCTTTATTTTTTCACCTATAAACATGTTTATGTTAGATTAGAAAATTGCTATCTTACTCTTACCCATTTAGTAATTTATATTATAATTTTTAAAATAATCATTTTTATAGGAGATTTGGTGCTTAAGAGAACTATTATTATGTAAGGATAAATATTAGTTTTTTAAATGTATTCTTATTGTATATTGTTATAGTTATCAAATTCCTCGCATTAATTATCAGTTAGCATCATATAAATTAAGAACTTCACCCATGCCATGTATTAGCTCTACTTTCCATACTTCACATAAATGTAAGCTTAGAATTTATTATAGAAATATAATATTATATAGTCAATAACGATGAAACTGTAAGTTCACCAGCTTTTGCGGATTCAGTTTCAGAAGGAGATATCAGATGGATTAAAAGTTTATATAAGATTTTCTAAATATATAATATATAACTTTATAGGTGTCGGGGATTCTATAAATGTTGATGATATAGTTTGTGAAATTGAGACTGATAAAGTTTATTCATATTTAATAATATCACATCCCAATGATTATATTACAATGTAAATACATAAATATATAGACTGCCTTACCAATACCTAGCCCATACAAGGGATTTTTAAAAAGTATCTTAGTTGAAGAGGGTGAAAAGGTTAAAGCTCATCAACCAGTGTTCATCATAAGTTTGGAGAGGCCTGATTCACAAGGTTATTTAAAAATAATGTATATATATATATAATATATAATTTCAATAACAATATTTTATATTAAAAAATTGTTTCAATGTGTACTATGATTGGAAATGCATCAGAAAAACAATACCATCCTGGGCAATCAAGGTGTCTAATTGATTCAATCTGATAGATAGAGAAATGTCATATGTCAATTAGAGCTGATAGTCAAGGTCATTGCAATATAAGATAGATATGACATATCAGTGTGATAAATGTGATGATTTATACACATGAAATGCTCAAAATTATTTTACCAACAAATAACCTCATTTTAAACCTGATGTTTTATTTTTGGAAAATTCAAAAAACATATTAATTCTTTTTTTTAAATTTTAATATATAAACATGCTCATACTAAAGTAGCAATAAAAAAATTAAATTTTAAAAAAAGTTTTTTGTGTCTTCAATATCTTGATATTGATGGGTTAAAATTTAAAAAAAAGATTTTATATGGAAATAAAGTATTTAAAAAATCCATGAGGAATATGTTAAATATATATAATGTCAGATATTTATGAATAATTTTGGATATTTATTGATAATTTTTTAATATTTATGAATAATTTGATAAAATAATTAATAAAAATTCTACATTAGTTGAATAATTTATTTCCCTTATTTATGTTTGATTTGAATTTTTGAATCAAATATTTTTTATATTGAAAAACCAATAATTCATTTTTTGGTAGTTTATAAGTTAAACTAATTAAAATAAGGTGTAAAAATTGACGAACAAGCTACAAGGATAGCATCCGATATCCCAGAATCTAATATCAAATTATCCGACGAATCACAAGATCCTTTGAAAAATGCCAACCATTCAAATGATCAAATTATATCAGTTCCTCAGCTACCAGAATCAGTGTCCGAAGGCGATATTAGATGGATTAAAAGTTTTAATTAGCTTTTATTTTTAATATATTCAGGGGTCATCACCATGAAGGAAATGGGGAGGGGGAGGGGGTATGAAGCAAGATTTTCAGTAAATTCTCAGAAGAGTAACCTATTTTTTAGATTATTGAATCCCCTTCATTCTTAGGAGGTAACCTTGATATTTATAGTATTAAATATCTACTATTAATATATTAACATTGAAATTATGGAATAAAATTTATATTGTATTACTACATTTGCAATTAAATTGTACTTGGTGATCTTTATAAATATATAATTTGTTTTTTATAATAAATTTATCTTCCTTTTTTTTACAATATGTTTTTAATTTTGTTATAATTATATTTTTGAATATTTATTAGTTTAAAATAATATTCATCCTTGTTATTTGATTAATCTTTTACATTCTCATAATCCACTCTTATTTTTCATGATGCATTTATCATTGTATTTATTTCTTTAAATTATAATTTAAAATATATTTACTATAATATAGTAAAACCTGTCTTATTTGGACACTGGTGAGACCCTAGATTATTGCCCAATTGTCAAGACTAATAATAGAAATTTGATTGGGACCCAATAATTTAGTCAAATTATAAAATACCCAAATTATCAAAAACAAATTAGACAAGTTTTACTATATAAATATGACAAAATTTTCATTTCTTAGAAACCATGTAATCATACCCTTTAAAAGTTATTTTTTGTTTTAAAAGCTTGAGGGGGACGATTTTATTTATTAAAATAAAAATAGGTAAATATTTTAATATATTTTTGGAAGAAGATATTAATTTTTTTTTGTAAAATATTACCGTATATGCTCATTACCATATATTTGCATTATATATATCATGTTAAAATCAAAAAAAATATTTTAAAAAAAATGACTAATAAAAATACTATTCGGCAAATTTTTTTAAGCTATTGTTCTGGCGAATATAAATATTCTTTATGATCGACCTTGAGGTGGGTAATTTTTCTTCCTACCTCCTCCAGGAGGGAAAATGGCTCGTGGCCAAAGTTTCCGAGGGTTTGCATGACAACAGGAAAGAATTTAATATTGTTTAGCGGAATATTTTTTTTATATTTTCGCCACTGAAAGAGAGTCTTCGTGGGTGTTAGATTTAGCGAATATGTATGCAAGTGTAATCCCAAGCTAGATGGATACCCTTTTCCTATGGAATTAAAGTTAAACTATCTGGTCTCATACCATCTAAGTATTAAGACCTAAGGGATCGAGGGTACACGGTATGTTGGCTCTTATTAGAGGTTTGGATATTAATTAGTGTCACCAAAAATGAAAAAATATTTGTTAAAATAAAAAAATTAATATTTTTAAACTGAGTTTTGAAATTTATACACGAAAATTGCAAAAGATTTATTTATAAAAGATTTTGACATTTTTAGAAAAAATTTGGTCAAAATTCTCGGAGTTTTTTGAAATTTTTTTTCATTTTTAAATATCCTCATTTAATCTTCATAAATAATTGTTAGAAAATGTTAATTTTTTTATATAACAGATGTTGGAGATCAAGTAGAAGTAGATGAAACACTCTGTGAAATTGAAACGGATAAAGTAAAGTATTTAATATTTTAACCTAAACACAGCCTTTTTTTTATAACATGTCTCTATTTGTTTGCTAATATAAAGAAGGAAAGAGTTTATGAAAAATAGAAAGTCAGAAACAGTTTGCAGAAATTTTGTGTTGGAAAATAAAATTTTATCACTTTAAATTATATACAGCAAGTCTTAAAAGTTTTTAAGTAAATGTTACTAAGATCCAGGGTTTCGCTTTCATGGTAAAAAGCGATAAATTATTTAAAATGTTTTTATATACTAATTTTTATTATTATAGTAAAAAATCTACAAGGCGTATTTTTTAAATATTTTAAATTACTAATAAAATATTTTAAAAAAATAGTTAATAGATATTATAAAAATTAATTATATATGCAAGGTAATTTAACAAAAATTGTTTTCTTTATGATTGCTACCACGAAAGTGAAAACCCGGAATTCGAATTGTTTTTTTTATATAGATATAGATTGGTTTTTATGACATTTATTTAAAATTTTATAAGAATTATAGAAGCTCATTATTCTTTACAAGGATTTTAAACATTAGAATGGGGCTTAAGCTGACCTACTACATTAAAAAATTTCACTTTATTTTGATATTAGAATCATTATTTATAGTTCTGTAGTTTTTAATAAATCTTTAATTAAATGACAATCGATATGCCTAAATATATATCATTTTTTCATACCTTGATCCTCCAAAAATAAAAGAGGACCAAAATTTAAACACTGCTTTGATTACGTGTACTTTAGTTTGCATACATTATTTCACTCGAATCTCAAAGGGGAGAGGGAGGGGTGTCATGATCAATTTACTTTATAAGTATATGCTATTTAATTAGACTACGGTCCCTGTGCCATCACCCAATAAAGGCGTCCTGAAAGAAATAAAAGTTGAGGATGGTTCAAAAGTTCACGCTAAGATGCCGTTATGTGTCATTGGCAGTGAAGGACTAGGAAAATCGACAACTGCTTCCGGTTTTTAAATCATATAATTTCATTTTTTTGAAATAATAATGGGATGACTTGGGGCGGATCGCGTCCTGATAATTGCCAATCCCTGGATGAGACTCGTTCACATCCGACCTCGCCCTAACTTTCCTGTTCCGATAATTTTCTTGCTTCATTATACTTGAATGCGCTATTATTTCTTCTTTGAGTTTCCATTAAAACGAAACTAATATCAAAAATCTACCCATATTTTAAAATTTTTTTTATTTATTTACAATAAAAAAATAATCATTAATTTGTAAAATTAATAAAAAACATGTATTGAAAATCACATGTATTATTTATATCGTCGACATTGTTATTAGAATTTAACTTAAATAAAATAACTAATTTCCCTGCCTTTTCCGTTCCTCACCGATTCCTAGATTCGAGTGAACAACTCCAAACGATGAGAATACTCTCTCGACTGAAGTGGATGATAAAAATGCAGTAAATAGTTGTTTTATCATTTTTAGAATATTTACATCCTTCATTAAATTTCCTTGTGCTATCTACCATTCGAAAATATTATTTTGGTAAATGGCTCTGATTTGCTTGGAACTTTGCCAAGATAGATAAAATGTAAGTGTTTGGATACAGAGCCCCCCGTATTCCATTGCTGTTTCCATTTTATTGGTTAAATTTCGATATTTCTGGTTTAAAAGGTAGGATAAGAAGTGTGCAAGAGTTAAAGCTTGATTGTATCGTTTAGCAAAGGATGAAAGTCGATTATCATTTATTTTTTTTATTAGCATATAAGGTGGTGAAAAGCTTTTGCAAATTTTTTAAACTATTAAAGAGTTTTAAATTGGGGCTAATTCCTTAAACGGTTGAGAAATAACAATAGCTAAAATTTGTATAAAAAAATTAAATTTCATTTGGCATTTTTATTTGAATCAGAAAATTTTACAATAAATTAATTCTAGCAAACAATTGGTAGTTAAATTTATAAAAAAAAAATGTATGTTATATATCATCGATTCTTTATTTGGGAAAAATATCAAATTACAACATATCATTATTTTATTTTTCGAAAATTTCCTCACTTGTTCCCTTGAGCATTAGTCCTTTACTTGCAAGATAATATTAAACTGAAATTAAAAAAAACGATATTTTATAATCTTAACGCGTAATTCTTTAATTAAAATGATTTTTTTATTTAGTTTAAATCGCAAATTTAAATAAAAAAAAAATCGATTTTTTGATTTTTATATAAAAAAAAATCACGATTTTTACCAACCCTATTATAAGCATTATATTATTTAAAACTTTCACAAATATAGAAAGAGTTGGGGCGAAATTTTCACAAATTAGACAATCATATTAGCACACAAACTCAAAATAAGACATGCTGCACCATTTAATTATAAATTTAAAAAAATTTATAGACATTAAATCTACACCCAAACAATCTCCGACATCTACTCCTTTGAATATGCCTGATCTACCTAAAGTCCCTAGAAAAGTTTCAATAGATATTAAACCTTCATTCGGAGAAACAGATAGGACTAATATACCTAGCGGAGTAATCGATAAAAAACCCGAGTTTTTTCCGCCCTTCTTTAACACATCCCAAAAGGCTAGCCAGGGAAAAGTATCACCAATCCAAAAACCAACAGACGATATTAGCCCTCATACCATATCAGGAAGTAGGACAGAAACCAAGGTGGCCTAAATATTATTTTCTAATAAATTTAAATTTCTTTTATATCAATAAGATTCTTATAGCGTTTAATTTAACGATAATATCTGTTTAAGATTATTAAATAATTTCAACTTTGAAATATTTTTCATCGTAAATCAGGTAAATGTAATTATTTAAATATAAATTGTCATTTAAAATTTCATTCTTATGAATTAATTTTAAGAAGTCATTATTTTTATTTGATTAAAAAAAATTTCACACCCATAAATTAAATATCCTACTATAACAAAGAAGGTATAGAATGTACTATATGATAATTCATAGAGAAATGTTTTAAAAAAATAAATGGGTTAAAGGGAAATATAACATAGATTTGTTACTCTTTAAAAATAGAATTACCTGAAATCGCTAAGAAAAATGAATATTACTAACTTCTCTTTTAAATATATTGAATTTTAGTTTAAATGATTTTTTTTAAAAATATCATTCTTAAGGTTAAGATGAATAGGATGAGGAAAAGGATTGCCGAGAGATTGAAGCAAGCTCAAAACACGGCCGCCATGTTAACAACTTTCAACGAAGTAGATATGAGGTAAAAAGAATAAAAAAAACCCTAAATTTATTTATTTATCTCAATCATTTTTTTTTAGAAAAGTTTTATGTTCCTAAATTATTTTATATAAAAATTACTTAAAACTCCTTTTTTAGGAATTTTAAGATGTTTTTTTTATAAACTTTTATTTAACCTCTTGTTTAATTCATGTTGAATCTCGATCAATTAGTATGGGAAAAATCTTCGTGTTCGTATACACTTATCCAATTTTGTATAATCAGGCGATCTATGTGAGCGTCACGAAAATATTTTCTTTGAACTCCATTTGTGTCTCAACTTTAGTTTAAGTAACGTTTAGATTTTTCTGTACTTTTAATCAATTTAGAATTTAACAGCTGCATTAAAAAAAAATTTAAACCTTTATTTTTAAAAAAAGAAGAGATTATCTTGCTTATCTTAATATAATGAATGTAGCAATGTCAAAAAACTTTTTTCTAGCCTCCACTTTACGACTCGAATCTGGTTTAACCATCTTTTTCTAAATTTCTAAAATATTCCCGCACTACTTTTATTCATATAATTAGCTTCCTTGTTGATTGTATTCATGTTTGCATAAAATTCTTTCCACCTCCCGTCAATCTTAATTATGAGATTTAATTAAGAATTATTATGTAAGAACATTTAATAGCTCAACTTTATTATTATTTTTTTAAAAAAAAAACTTTATTATTTAAAGTCAAGTAATGGCACTACGCGAACGTCATAAAAAGACTTTTTCTGAGCTGCATTCAGGTCTTAAGCCTGGAATCGCCTCTTTTTTCGTGGTTGCTAGCGCACGAGCTCTCACCAAGCAACCCATAGTAAACGCTTTCGTAATGGAGGATAATTCTCATATTTCTTATAGAGATTACGTGGATATAAGCGTAGCCGTAGCTACGCCAAAAGTAAAAAAAAAAATTGGGAGTTATAGGTTTAGTTGGGGTAATTAAGGAGTTTTAATTAATTTATATTAGTTTCCTTCAAATTTGAGCTGCTATCTTTTAAAGGAAAACCTTGAAGCCAAAGTGATATCTTTCGGCTAAAAACTTGGTTTAGTAGATTTTTTTAGCGGCTAAAAATATAGTAATTACCCAACTCTATAGTAGTGTTAGGAGAAATGAAGTCTAAAGAAATAAATGTGATGGTAATGAACAATTACCTCTTAGATTTGACCAAGAAGTAAAATTACTTACGGGTGTTGTAAATATATATTATTTGATAATGTTTTCAAGGATGCATTATATATATATATTTAAGAAAATAATTATTGATTTTTGTTTTCGAAAATTATTATTTTTATATTGAAGTTACGATAATTATATACTTTTATAATTTTTCTCATTATTTTTTTTATGATAAATTTTTGATTAAAAGAATAAAGTAATAAAAATATTTTGTTTAGTTATTTTTATTTTTAGTTTACTGTTTCCTCAATTCTCATTAGTTTCAACAATTTATTTAATAAAACCGTTCATGACAATTAAGTTCTTTATTTAATTTATATATTATTTGGTTAATTATTAATTTGGTAAGACTAGTTACGACAACGGGAAGTAGTTTAGATTAATTAATCTCCTACCATCATAATTACAGTTTTTAATTATATTTTATAATAGTAAAATAAAAAAGAAGAAAAAATAAATTAGTTAAACCAATATTATTTTTAAGCAAATAAAAAGAAAGCATCAAATTAATTTTTGAATATAATTTACGCAAAGGGCTTGGTCGTACCCGTGATAAGAAACTGCGAAAACATGAGCGTTGCTGATGTCGAAAAGAATGTAGCCTATCTTAGTGATAAGGTAATCTTTTAAAATGTTAGAATGTTTTATGTACTCGCATCCCCCCCCCCTTTAAATTAGAAATTATAAGTAATTAATAGGTTATTATCTAAAAAATTTTAAACATTAAAAGGCAAGGAAAGGTAATTTGGCGATAGAGGATATGGATGGAGGGACCTTTACCATCAGTAACGGAGGAGTGTTCGGTTCTTTATTCGGTACCCCGATCATAAACCTACCCCAATCTGCTATACTTGGCTTGCATGCAATAACTAAGAAGCCCGTAGTTATTAACGACAAAGTAAATCTAATAAATAATCAATATGATAACTTTATTTTTCCTAAAAAGAGGGGAGAGAGGGAACAGTTAAATCACTTAGTTTTAGTCAACTCCAAAATGGCTTAGTCAACTTTTTATACTAAAAGATTCGCCTTAATCTTTAAGTTGAGGCTTGACTTAGAGAGTAGTTATAGTAAGTATCAGAAAGAATTACAACTAAATTACCATGTGAAGGGCGAAATATTAAAAGGAATAGGATGAGGGCAAAATTTTCAGGGAAACAATTGCTATATTACTATTAACTTTAGACTCCTTTAAGGTCGGTCGGTCAGCCTTACTCTAAGGCCAGACCGATAATAACATCAATAAAATCCCTGCCAATGGCCCTAAAAATATTGATATTATATTTCCATCTTACATTTTTTTTTGCCTTGTTAAATATCACAATAAGAGTTGAGAAATATTTATTATACATTTATATTAGAATAAAATGGCCATAATTAAATATCAGAAGTTTCTGCTGAATATTTAAATTTATCGCACAACATTAAAATAGAGAATAAAATAATTATTTTAAGTTTGTTTCCCCTATATGCCTTTTTAAAAAAAATCGGGTCGCCAAGGCTTATGCCTAGGTCTGAAAAAATTTGCCACTGAGCTGTGTGTATATTTTGATTTTAAAAAATCTCTAATTATCTTTACTTAGCTGATTTTACCTAGCCAATCACCAAAAGCAATTTTTTAATATCATTTTTGGTAAAGGTGTTTTTTTTTAGTTGGAGGATATAATTTACGAAATATAATATTTTCGGTTGAAATTTTTATATATAGAACACTTTACGAATTTGAATTCATTTCTTATAGAATGATACTTTACCACGGTTTTAAATTTCATATAATAAAATAAGATTTTCCTTATTTTTGGATATTGAATAATTAATCGATTCTTACAATATATTATACAATTAAAATAATTAGATCGAAAATAAAATATAATTTTCCGCTATTTTTGGATATTAAATAATTAATCGAATCTTACATATATTATCCAATCAAAATAATTAGATCGAAATAAGGCCCATGATGTACGTGGCACTAACTTACGATCATCGTTTGATAGATGGACGCGAAGCCGTCACTTTCTTAAAGAGTATCAAAAATTATATTGAAGACCCGGCCTCTATATTATTGGACATTTGATTAGAGATTCTCATTGGAATATCTTGTATTACCTTTTTTTCCATACCCATTTTGCAAAGATCCCGGCTGTTTTTTTCATAGGTATAGTTGGAAAACATTATAAATAGCTTAAATATTTTAACGCTCACATCAATTATAATTTATAAAAAGGCATATTTTTAACAATAATTTAATATTGGGGGGTGGGGCTAAAGTCTAACCCCATTACATGACACCTTTGATAGTAAATTTTACTAACCCATTTTATTGACCGCACAAACATTGCACTACCGGTATTTGTATTTTCGGCGAAAAACACAATTATACGCATTTTTGTAAGCATGAATAATATTTTTTTTCGCTTTATTTTATATTTTTTCTTGCAATTCCATCCAGTTTATTTAAATCAATTTTTTTTTGAAAAAAATAAATAAAGTGAATGGGTCATCATATAATATTTTATATTTCTACGAAAGTCAATTTTTTATATTAACTTATTTTAAATACTTATTTTTCGACTTAAAAAATATATAAATGTTGATTGATTTTTTTAAAGAAATATTATGTGAACGATAAATAAAGTTTTGTATACGTATTTTCTTTCTCTAATTGTATATTTATAAATAATATAGTTTTGTTTGAATCAGTATAAATTAAGAATAGTTTTATGATGGAGTTAAGAGGTATCCTTTGAACCTGTTTTAGTTTTTTAAAAGATGTTCAGTTTTGGCCGCATTCTGTTTATACTCGTAGGTAGTGTTGTTAAACGGCTCATTTTGAGTCGATTTTTTAAAACGGCTAACTCAATATTTCATCCAGAAAAATATTATGCAAGTCTGAAGATTTTGCTTATAGAAGGAACAAAGGTCTAGAAGACATATATTGACAAAATCTCGAGGCTTAAACAATGTTTTTCTGGCTAAAATATTGAGTTAGCCGTTTTCAAAGATCGGCTCAAAACGAGCTGTTTAACAACTCGTAGGTATATCGAAAATATGAAAAGGCGAATGAATTATAAATGATTCATCATGCATATTAAATAATTAGGCTTTGTCCAGATTTTGAAGAAAAAAAATTATACCATTTTATGGCCTAGCTATTGGCAGGTATCTCATTATGTTATAACCTAAACCAAAATATGTATTACAGTGATCTATTTGACGTGTGAGATAAAACGCGCATTCGATGGACACTACTTAATTAATAGTATCGGTCAGAAGTAACCTGGGCACAAATATCCAAATTTTAAATTTTTTAAAAAATGTTTAGAAAAAGGGGGGGGGGGGGGGGTAAGTTTTAAAAAAAATTATAATTTCTTCCACACACTAAATTTTTTTTATTTACCTATGATAATATGCAGCCACTGTGCTCTGTTTTTACACAAACTTTTAGTACTGGGGAAATGTTTAGATGTTATTGTAATAGAAACAATTAGCCTCAAAGGCAATTAAATATATGATGAATTTTAAATATATATATTATTAATTGTGTACGACGATTAATTGTTTGTTTTGTAAAATATATATACTGCGGTACAAAAGGTAAAAAGTTGTTAAATTTATGATAAAAATTGATTTCATCACAATGGCGCAGTCTTCAAATGGGGAAATATAATATAAAGGAGTGTAATATGGAAGTTTATTTATCAAAAATGGAATTCATATTTAAAATCGCAAAAATAGAAGATAAAAAATCATTTTTATTAGCGAATATTGGATTAGAGGTTTATTCTAAATTATTTAATTTGTGTTTGCCAAAGACATTAGAGGAAATATCATATGATGACATAATTAAACTTTTAAAAAATTATTATATGAAGAAGACAAACTTCCTATTAGAAAGATATTATTTTTTTAAAATGGAACAAGAAAAAGATGAAACCATCGTAGAGTATATTAATAAATTAAAGATAAAGGCAAAGACGTGTGAATTTAAAGATATGTATAATACAGTATTGCGAGACAAATTAGTGTCAGGAATTAATAATGGAAAAATATTAATGAAATTAATTAACACGCAGGACTTGACATGGGAAAGTGCAATACAAATCGCGACCGCAATGGAGACTACAAAAATGATGTCGTATGAAAAATTATCTGCAGGGAAGGAGATAAATAAAATCTTAAAAACAGTAACAAGGGAGCAGTATGACAAGTACAAATCAGTACCAAAAATTATTTGCTATTGTTGCGGATTAGGAGATCACATAAAACCTAAGTGCCCTAATTTGAATGCCATCTGCCATAATTGTGGGATAAAAGGACATTTACAAAAAGTATGCAGAAGGAATCGTGGAAAGAAGGAATATATTCGAACGATAGATGTTCCAGAAAATGAGCGAGAAAGTTTTGCAGGATTGGGAATTTCCAGAGGAGTCTCGAGAAAAATTTGAGGTGAAATTATTGATAGATAAAATTTATATTAAATTTTTAATTGACACAGGATCGGCAGTCTCCATTTTGAATATAGAAGACGTTTACCGTTTAAAAATACCAGTAACAAAAACGGATATTATTTTAAAATCTTATAATAATGTAATGATCAATATTAAAGGTAAGTGTATATTACCCGTTAATTATATGAATAAAGTTATATATCATGAATTTATTATTGTAAACAATGGGATTAACTTGATAGGTAGAAACCTAATAAACAAATTAAAATTAATAAAAATAAATCAATGTAATATAGTTAATGAGGTTTGGGAGGATAATATTGTACATAAATTTTCCTTATTATTCACTAAAAAATTAGGTTTACTACGAGGTTTTAAGGCCAGTTTAGCGGTAAAATCTAACCCACAGTTTCAATGTATGAAAAGTAGACCGATACCATTTGCGTGGAAGGCAAAACTCGAAACGGAATTACAACGACTGGAATCCATGGGAGTTTTAGAAAGACTAAAATACTCGAATATCGCTTCTCCGATTGTACCCGTATTGAAGAAAGATGGATCGTTACGAATTTGCGGTGATTTCAGACAAACAGTTAATGCAAATATTTTGATAGATAAATATCCTTTACCCAGAATTAATGAATTATTAGCCACACTAGGTAATGGGTGTAAATATACAGTATTAGATTTATCCGAAGCGTATTTTCAAATAGAGCTAGATGAGGAGGCAAAAAAGCTGTTAGTAATCAACACGCCTAGTGGATTGTATCGTTTCACACGACTTCCGTTTGGGGTAGCCTCAGCGCCAGCGATTTTTCAACAAGCAATGGATTCATTATTAAAGGGATTACCTGGAGTAGCGGTATATTTGGACGATATAATAATTACGGGGGAATCAATTGAGAGTCATAAGAAAAATTTGATAAATGTATTAAAGACGTTAGAAATAAACGGTATGAAATTAAATCTAAAAAAATGTGATTTTTTTAAAGAAAAGATTGAATTCTTAGGTCATACCGTTAGCTAAGAGGGAATTACGACAACAAATAAGAATGTCAATGCAATTTTAGACGCACCATTACCAAAAAACGTCAAAGAATTACAAGCTTTTATCGGTATAATAAATTATTATCAAAAATTTATAAACAATTTTTCGACTATTGCCGCTCCATTATATAGGCTTTTAAGGAAGAATGTGCCATGGAAATGGACAAATAATGAAACAATTGTGATTAATAAATTTAAAAAATTAATATCAGAAGCACCAATTTTAACACATTAGAATCCGGAAAAACCGATAATTCTAGCTGCTGATGCGTCTCAACATGGAATAGGATAAGTTATATCTCATATCATTAACAACGAGGAAAAACCAATTGGATACGCGTCTCGAACATTAAATGCTGCCGAACGAAATTACAGTCAGATAGAGCGTGAGGCTTTAGCAATTATATTTGGATTAATTAAATTTAAACAATATTTAATTGGCAGACATTTCATTATCATTACTGACCATAAACCCTAATATCGTTACTTAATCCACATAAAAGAATAACAGATATGTCATCAAGATTAGTAAGATGGTCATTACTACTAGCAAATTATGATTATGAATTGCAACTTCGAGGGACGAAAAAAAATAGTAATGCGGATATGCTTTCCCGGTTTCCAATTGACGGTAAACCATCTGCTTGGGAAGAGTTAGATATTAATTTAATAGTATCGGATGCTCCACAATTTATTTCAGCGTTAGATATAAAAGCACACACAAGAAATGACCCGGTATTATCAAAGGTTTCACGTTACCTTACAACTGGATGGCCAAAGATGATAGAGGAAAATCTTAAACCGTTTTTCCAGCGCCGAAATGAACTCACGATGGAGGCAGGGTGTATATTATGGGGCTTAAGAACCATAATTCCAAAAAAATTACAAGTAAATATTTTGTCTTTTTTACATATGGGGCATCAGGGTTATACTAAAACAAAATTATTGGCACAAGAGAACGTTTGGTGGCCGAATATTAACGAAGATATCGAATTACACGGTAAGAATTGTGAATTATGTCAAACAAATAATCCTGGCAATAAAACGATCATAGGGAAATGGCCCTCAGCAAATAAACCATGGGGAAGAATTCATTTAGATTTTGCCGGACCAATTAATGGAGATATATACCTAGTAATAGATAGTTTTAGTAAATGGCCTGAAATACAAAAAATGACCACGAATAATTTTACTGAAGTAAGAAAATTGTTGTTAAGACTTTTTGCTATTTTCGGTTACCCCAATACGATTGTTACGGATAATGGCCCCCCATTTCAAAGTAGAGAATTTAGTCTATTTTGCAAACAATTATCAATTAAAAATGTATATAGTGCCCCATACCACCCTAGAACCGACGGAGAAGCGGAGCGATTAGTACAAACTTTTAAAAAATTTTTAAAAAAACATAATGATTATAATAAAATACAAGATTTTTTGTTTAATTATCGAAATACGCCACAAATAACCACAAAACAATCACCAAGTTCAATTATGCTTAAATTTCAACCCATAGGACCTTTACAATTAATAAAACCAGTTTATCCTCATCCATATATACCTCAGTTACCAGGTTTTTTTAATATAAATGAAAAAATATATGCAAAGGATTTTAAAAAAGATAATTGGATACCAGGTATCATCGTTAAAAGAACAGGACCAATGACGTTTTTAGTTGAAACTAAATTAGGGGTATGGAGAAGACATATTAATCAGTTAAAACATAGGTTCGACAACTCAGAATTAAAAAATAGAGAGGAGGGAAGAGAAGAAGAAACGATGCAAACTACACCACAAATGAATGAAAATGAGCCCATACAAAACTCAATGACTAAAGACATTGATCCTATACACGAATTGGTGACCAAAGACATTGACCCAACACAAGACTCAATAAATAAAGACACCATCATAAATGATAAGATGAAAATCGACAGTAATGAGCAAACGGTGGTAGAGAACGAAAGTACAAGCAGCCGTTATCCAAAACGGATAAGA